AGCCTAAAAAAACAAACAAAATCTGTTGAAAACTATGGACCCAAAATTCATAAAACTTTTTAGGATCCCTTCTTAGAAAGCTCTCATCTAGGTAATATGCTCTCCATTTTCCACTTGAGGGGGAATATATATATATATATATATATATATATTTACTTTTTACATCTAGGCTCTATCCCAATATAAAGCAAATTAGTTGGCTGTTTTTAAGCTATCTAGAAAAGGATAGACAGAGCTAAAATAATGATAAAGTCATTTTCAACTTTGTTTTGAGCTCTTTGATACCTACTGGCTCCAAGTCTTTAAATGGCAGGATGAGACTGAGGCCGACCTTTAGGGTTTCTCAAGAGTTGGCCATGTTAGACATAAAGGGTGGCCTATGAACAACAGGTGGACTGTGTTCTTTTAAAACACAATAGGACCTGTGTTTTTTATGAGAGTAGTCAAAGGAAATTATATTTAGCAATGAAGAAGTTGTTATTTACTGGGGAGATACTAAATGTCAGACGAGTGACATTTCAGACTGAAGGGAAAGTGAGTCTCGCTCTAAAGGTCCAAATTCTGTAGCATGACCTCCAGCATTTCTTCCTCTCCCCTCTTTTCCTTTCACCAACTTTATTAATTCCTTTGATACCAAATCCTGCATATCTAACTGTAAACCCATTCAACAGTTTTGCTTTCTTCCCTGTATGCTGACATTAGCATTTCTCCCAATTCTAAATTTCATCCACATATTCTATTACATAAAACACGAGTAAGTAGAAACTGATCTCCTTGTGGGTTCTTTGGAATGAGGCAGATAAGAAATCAATGAGTCAGAAACATTTCAAAATAAAATAATCTTGAAAGCTAGGCTTTTAACACCCTCTCCAGAAACTCTGAAAATGTCATAAAATTGGGGGAACAACAGATTAAATATATGTCCAGAAATCAGACTTGTTTTGAAAGACTTTACAGATGAAGTTGTGTAATTGTTCTTAAAGCTTCTTGAATCAAATACCCTTTGGAGAACCTCAGGAAAGAGAGGGGAATTTGCATCCATACAATTTTAGAAGATATCTGGAGGCCTTGAACCCCTTCAGGGATCCAATGGTAAGGGCTTCTGAACTCTTCCAACTCCCTCATTCATGTATGAATAACTAAAGTGCAGTCAAATCCAAGATCAGAGCAAGTCTGTAGCATAAGCAGGCCTCCAGATTCCCAGTCCACTACTCTCCATCATGCCATAAATTTCTATGAAGAGCTTGAGATTAGGGATTTCTGGTAATTGTTAAAGTGCTTGTGCTGGTTGAATGCATCCTCCAAAATTCATGTTTACCCGGAACTTCAGAATGTGACCTTCTTTGGAAAGAGTCTCTTCTAATATAATTAAATTAAGATGTCATAGTGGATTATGGTGGGCCCTAAATCCAGGTAGTGTTTCCATAAAAGAAGGTCATGTGAATACAGAAATGCACAGGGAAGAAGGCACTGGGATGACTGTCACTGTGAACTGGCATGACATTCAGGAATTGCAGTGAGGCAGAAACTGGAATGTTGTCAAGGAATGCCACTGCCAAAAGCTAGGACAGAGGCATGGATGAGATTCTTCCCCAGAACCTCCATAAGGTGCAAACACTGGTAACCTCTTGATTTCAGACTTCTACCTCCAGAACTATAAAAGAATAAATTTCCGTTATTTTAAGAAACAGTTGGCTGTACTTTGTTATGGCAGCCCTAAGAAACTAATATACTAGTTTACTGCTATTGTTTATATCTTTATTTACATTACTTTAAAAACCCTTCACATGCTTTTCCCATTGAGGATCCACTTAGTCTCTTTCAACTTCTTTTTCAGACTAACTAACCTGGATATTAATGCTGGACAGACCAATGCATGTCTGTGTCTTTCTAAGTTTTCTGCATGAGTAGAGATGAGTTATGCTGAGAAAAATTCTTAGGTCTACATTTATACAACATTGCTCTCATTGCGTTTAAAAAAGGACAGTGTTTTCCCATGGTGGAATAACTGCTGTGTATCTTGCAAGAGGGTAATAAAAAAACCAATGAAGATTTAAAAGGAAGTTCCATTTAAAGCATCTAGTATAATGGAGGTTTGCTTCATGCAAACAAGGAAGAAACCTTAGAAGATAATGTTGTTGACTTCCCTTCTCTAAAGTATTCTTTGACTCAGGAAGATAACTCAGACCTTACCAAGGATAAGCTGTTTGGAAATGACTGCCCACAGGGACTTCACAGTAATCCCATAAAATAAGTGAACTGGTTTAAATCAAACCTGTCTTAATTCCATTTACAGAGCACACCAGCTGTTAAGTACTGCTCATATTCTAGAATCCTAGATTTACCCATGCACAGAGATACTGTTATGCCACTGTCAGAGTATTTTCAGACATCCAGTCACACTTAGAAAAAAGAGTCCCACTGCTTTTGCTACCTCTAATTCATTGCCCTCATCAGACTGAGTGCTTGAGGAGATGAATTACTTGGTTTTGAATTGTGGGAAGTAGCCTGGGGAATATAGCCTGAAATCGTATTTTCAATTCTGCCTTCTTTCATTACGAGAACTGCTTGGTAATAAATGCCCTTGATTTTGTAAGGAAGGGGTGACTGTTTATATGTTTGGGAATCATGCCTTACTGTTAGCTGCACACTGAGCTAGTTTCTAGTTTTGGACCCTTTCTGATTTCCTGATATGTTCACTGCAAATTAAATAAGTCACTCTAGACCTCTGTTTCTTTACCAGCAAAATAGGAAATAGCACACACATCAATGAATTGGAAGATTGAGCTGAATGTGTGTCCACTGGATTACTTTATAAACCTTTTGCGGATTGATGGCAAAAACAAACAAACAAACAAAAACCTAGCTGTTTGAAAGAACATCCTATCACCTTAAGGAGGTACTGGTGAGTTTCAGGAAGAGACTATAAATTGAACTGGACTTGTCAGTGTTCAGATATAAATGTGGACTCCGGAAACTAAGCCCGGAGTCTGTGGAGCTGCATCGGACGCTCAGCTGTGCATTGCTTAGTCATATAGGAAACATGGTGAGGAAACGGTGTAATCCAGGGTAGTAGTTTTTAATATATACAATGCCAGCTGGATGGGGTGCAGGGCAGTAAATTCAGGAGAACCGAGTAGAAGGTGGCCTTTTATGGGAAAAATGTAAGAGGCAGGATGAACCTAAGAAGGAAGAACATGGAGCAGAGAAAAGGCTGTAAAAGGAATCAAATAATCAGACCAAGAAGTCAGGGTTGTTGGGCAGCAGACAGTGTTTTTAAATGTGCAGGGATGAAAGATAATCATGAAAACTGATGTGTGTCATAGGTTGGGGAGTGGAGACGTCTCAGTGAGAAGCTGGGATTTCTTTATGGCAGACCTTAGTTTAAAGACCAAATCTGTGGCTTACTAGCTTTGCAGTTCAAGCAAGTTACTGCTCTCTTCTGAGCCTCATCTACAGAATATGAATAACTGTATTTTAGGGTCGCTGTGAATATTTTAGACAATATATGCATCCAGATCCCAAGAAGAATGCAATAAATAACAGCTGTTGATTAGCCTTATAAGGAAATAAAAGGAAGGACAACTAAGAAGAGTGTTTTTTACCTTCAACTCTCTTCTCCAAGGGAAAGAATGATAGGGTAGTTCTCATCTGACTGAAGGCACCTGGGTCAGGTTCCCCTCGGAGAGTTCCTTACCAGTATCCAGTCATGTCCTGCAATAATTTCATAAGTAGTAGAGCTGTGTTACCTGATACAGTAGCCATTATCCAGATGTGGTTATTTAAGTTGGAATTAACTAAAATTAAAACCACTTTTCTTTAGTTTCACTAGCCATAGTACAATTCATCAGCAGCCACACAGGCTAGTGGTTATCTTATTGGAAGGTATATGACACATACATATACAAATATGTATATATTAACATACATGTGTATGTTTCCATCATTGCAGAAAGTTCTGTAATTTGCATGTGCTTAACTATAGTGGATATGTGTGTAAAAGAGTGTAACTGTAGAAGTCAAGGTAGTGGGGAGAAGAGAGGAGAGAAGCTCAAATAGGAAGATAAAGCTTCTACTGAGAGGAGCTCCTCTTTTTAAAAAATGCCTTGGGTAAAGTCGGTAAGGAGGGGAACTTAAGATCAGTAAGGTGGGTAAACCTTAAGCTGTGATGGCCAAGGCCTGGGATGAAAGGATTTCGGCTACATTTGAAATTCATCCTAGGAGCAGTACTTTGGTCTCAGATGTCAAACAGATAACCTGTTCCATGGTGACTAATATAGAGAACTGTTTACCTAGAGTGACTAATGTGGTGTCACTAAGAACTACATAAATGTCAAACAGATGCAATCACAGCAAATAGACTTTTCTAAATGGATCATATAATTCAAGGAAGGATAGAAACCAAAAGAACATTGGGATCAAAAGTGAGGTTTTTCTATGAATCTGAAGTGCATAAACCAAAGTCCTGAGAGAACAAGGAGAATTCCCTGTAGTGAATCCACCAAGTACCTAACATGCCAGGAATAAAATATGAGTAGATGGGTGAATGGGAAAAAACATGTCTCAGACACCTGAAGCTTTGCCACACCTGAAAGAGGGCTAAAATGTACAGTGTCTCTGCGAGGTCGTACTCGAGGTCCAAGGCTAACGGTGACCAATGTCACAGGTAACCTTTGTGAGCACTGACCATTTGCCAGGCCCTGGGCTGTAGGCTTGAACATGCCCTGTCACACTGAATCCCCATGATGCCCAAGTGCTACCAGCCTCATTTTGTAGATCAGGAGACTGAATCTTAGAAAAGCCAAGGCATCCTGTTGAATTATCATACACAAGGCCAAGTTAAGATTCTTAATATTATCTAATTGACAAATGTCCAGGCAAGATAAAGATCAATAATGACCAAGAATAAAAGGAGGGAGGAAGGAAAACTATTTTTAAAATGCTGTATATCACTTCTATCCTCTTGGCTTTACCCATTTATGTAAAAAACTACAACTAAGACAAGAGAGGAAGAGGAAGCGAGGAGGTCCGAGGGCCCTGAAGCCAGGCGAGCTGAGAGCCGGAGTGCACAGGATGGGCCCCCAGAGCGGAAGGGCCCACGGCTGTTCCCGTCCGCAGTGGGGTGGAGGCTCTGTTCCTTTGGGAATGAAGTCTGAAGCCTTCGCAGATGGTGTTTATTGATTATTAACAGGTGAGTCTTTTCTGTAAGCAAAATCTCAGTCCCCAACTTACATTTAATGTCTTGTCAAACCACCGTCTTCCACAGTCAACCGAATTGAACATTTATGGATGGGTCCACATGTTCTGACTCGTAACTTTATACTTTTATAATGTTCACATACAGACATACATGCTTTTAAATACTATTTTGAGAGCACTCCTAAAATGGGGATTGCGTCTTGACAAAGTATCATAGCTGGAAAAGCAGGGAGAGAATTGAGAACAAATTAAAGATTTCATCCTAAATCTCCTCAACAGGGACTTATGTGGAGTGGTGAAAAAGCTGTGGATGGTTCTGGAGGTCATAGAGGTCAAGGTCATAGAACTACTATGTGTTGGAGATCTTCCCCCTTACCAACAGGTTTTAACTTCATTGTAATTTTTCTCAAGGTGTATTTGTTTGATGGGGCTGCCATAACAAAATACTTTGACTTCGTGCCACAAATCAATATATATTATATTTAGTATGGATAGAAAACCAGAACTGGTTCCTCCACTAAAACTGTGGCAAACTAAGAAGCCTAAGGATCTGTGTAGTTGTCAACATGGTTTTGAATCTGCTCTGGAACCAGGCTGATGCTTTCCTTCTCCATGTATGGTGCACATGCTTACAGACAACCGCAGTGTCTTCCTTGCTAGCAGCAGACTGGACAGGGTGAAAGAGGTGTTGATGGATGCCAGGTGAACTTCATCACCTGCAGTTGGTTCCAGGTCTACAAGCACTATTGCAAGTGGCAGGCTTGATGAAAAAGCTGTTGAACATGTGGTCTTCTCCCCCAGCATCTTGTTCCCGGGTATTTGGACTGCAGGCTGCATATAGTATTTCAGGCAGCAGGCTTCTCAGCAGGGATTGCCAGAGCACCAGGGGGGCCAGTGTGGGTAGAGAACTATTTGCATATGGTGACTATTTGGAGAGATCATCTTGTTCAGAGGAGGCAAAATGAGTTGCAACACAGATTTCTTACCAACACAGCACTAAGAGTTCTCAAGAAGAAATTAGAAAAGTGACATTCTAGATGTCTACTTCTCTGACCCTTTGGGAGATTAATTTACTGGACCTGAAGTAATGTTGCCACCCACAGACTTGGCCTTAGGAAGTCCATAGTATGACAGGTGTCCTGGGTCTCATGTATTTTCATATGGATTTCCTGACTCAGAGTTAGTGATTGTCCTCACCACACACACAGCTCCTCCTCTCCCGGCACACATTGCCCTCTCTCCCCCCAACACACTCCACCCAATTTTTTCTCCAAAATAACACTTCAGCAAATACTTCCAATTCAAATAGCTACAGTAACACTATTTGCAATGATATAAAATTACTTCCTGTCAATGAAGCTGAAGATACTTTATAAAAGAGTAACAGACCCTAATATTTCTACTACGAGTCTTATTTATCCCCTAATGCATTATCCATTTCCATTTACTTAAAAAGTACCATAAATATGAATCTAAGAGAAATCCAGTAATGATGGTTATACTATGACAATAATTCGTTAGTAAGAAATTAAAGAAATCGGAAAGTTCTTGGGGTTCATGTTTAAATGTGGCAAGACACGTTCAGAGTTTCAGTATTTGTACCTGTTCAGAGAGGAGGAGGAAAGGAAGGAGAAAGCAATGGAGCATTCCGGGAATGAAAACGGGTTGGATATTCGTGGAAAGTCCTTTAGAAGGATGACAATGAAAAGCTATGGAGCTGAGTTCCACTGAGAAATGGAAATGGAGTGTGCACCACCTGTGAGCCTGCACCCCTCAGTCTGACCATGTGCCCCCAGGGATGTGAGGATGCTGTCTCCACTGAAATCCTTGGCTTTGTCTTAGCACCCTTAGCACTGGCAGCAACTCCCCCCTAGGCGTCCACTTTTGGCCACAGAATATAGTAATAGCAAATACTTACTATTAAGTAGTCACTATAGGCCAAACACTGTGCTAATTGCTTTACTTGCCCAGTCTCATTTAATTATCACAATAATCCTATGAGATGGATAATCTCTAATTGTCCACATTTAACAGACCAGTATGATCCTGTAATGCCTGGAAAGCAGCATTTTGTTGCACAGATCAAAAGGACATATATACAATTCTTATGAGGCTTTTGTTTCCTTGGTTTCTTCTTGCAGGGGTGATTTTTCCATTTTTATATAGTGTTATCAGTGACTCCAACAGTATCTCAAGTCAGCTGCTCACAAGTTGCATTTAGGAACTTCAGATGACACTTTCTTCTCTTGATAGTCATGATTTAAATGGAAACTGGTGTGTCCAGAATCTGTTGTGTCCAGAATCTGTTCTGAAAATTAGCCTTTACGGATTATCTTTAGTGGTGTTCTTATTTTTAAATTTTTTATTTGGAGCCCTAACAGGGTGAAAACCATGTTCTTAGAAGTGGGCATATTTCTTGTGGGAGTTCCTTTTGTTGGAGGATTTCCTTGTAAAACTAGGAACTGGCAGGGCTGTGACCTATGTCCTGGGCATCTGTGTACATACTTCGGGGCAGAGGAATAGCTTAGAGGGTGGCTGTCACCTTTTGTCTTTAGAAAGGATGGGAGAGCACTGGAAACTCCATGAGGACAGAGACCCACTGGCGCTCCTAGCACAGTTCCCTGCACAGAGGACACACTGCTGGGGGCTGCACACACCAGGACAGGCTCTGTCCTAGACACTGAGGGCTCTACACTCTCATGGCCCCCAGAGGCTGATGCCCTGATGCTGACACAGATGAATAAACGGGCTTGTGCCAAGTCACCATTGCACAGGGCATTATGTGAGTGCTCGGGAGGAGCACCTGCTTCATGAAAATTTCTCAGAAAGCTCCACTGAGGCTGAGACTTAATGAAGGAGTAAAAGCTATCCAGAGACTGTAGAAAAGAACCCTCAAGGCTAGTGCTTCTCAAAATATCAAGCACCTAGGGAGGTTTAAAAAAGATTCTGATGCCTGAGGCCCATGTGTGGAGCTTCTGATGTAATGGGTCTGAGTGTAGGCTGGGCACCACGACTTTAAAAGTGCAGCCAAAAGTTATTTAAAAGTGACTTTAATGTGCAGCCAAAGCTGAGAATCTGGGCTAGTGGCTCTCCGTACTGGCTGCACTTTAAAGTCACCTGGGAGGCCTTCTGCATCCACCCCCAGACATTCCCAAGCAGTTTTTCTGGGATGTGTGTGTATTTCAAGACTCGCCAGGGCTGAGGATGACTGCGTTGGGGGTTAGCAGCAGCAAATGCAGGGCAGGAAGCAGAGAACATGGCCAGTCCTGCTGCTGGGGTGTGAAGGGCAGAAGCAGGCTGTATAGGACGGGAGGGCCTAGATTAGAAAAAGACTTCTTTGCCAAGTTATGGTGTTTGACATTCATTTGGGTGACAATGGGTAGTGAGTGAGAGCTTTAAGGAAGTAACATTAAAAAATATGTTTTCAAAGACTGGATATAAGTCAGAAGGCAAGGAGTGCAGTTGGTTGGAAGTAATCTATCTCTGGACAGAATGGTGGAAGGGTTGGGATGCTGGATGTAAAGCCAGATATTTTTGTCTAAAGTCTCTTTACTGTCAGAGGAAGATGAAAAAAATCAACTGTTTCTTTTTCCTTTTCTGAGTTGACTGCTCTACAGGAAAGAAAAACAACATTTGTCAGAATTTCCAGGATCCCTACTTGGGAAAGTAGGGTAGAGGGCAATTACTGAGGATGGGGAGCTCTTCAGAAGAGTCTAACAACCTTTGTGGAGAGAGTGAACAGACTCCACTCTTTAGACAAGGCAGGGCAAAGACTGAGATTTTCAAGAACTAAGTTCAAGAATTATATTCATCATTCTGTGTGTGCTTACCTCTAATGAGTATGCTGGTTCTCTTTAGTATTTATCTTACAAACTTAGCTTGTGGTGTTTTTTTCTTGGGGCTAACGAGGAAAGGAAGGGGCCATTGAGAGAGGATGCCCAGGGCACCTCTTTTGTCTTTCTTGGGTGACTGCTTCTGTTGGGAAAATGGCCCCAAGCTTTCCATGATTCAGAAGGCTGAGAAAGGACTAGGCGGCCACTCATGAGAAATGATGACTTGTCATCACTCAGCAAACATGTCACAGGAACGGAGCCTGAGGAGCACCTGCACACATCCTGAGCACATCCTTCCTGTGGGCACTGCCCCTGGGTGAGCCTGCTGGAGTTGCATAAATCAACCGGAGAGGCATTAGGAGTCCTCTCCCTCCCTTCAGGTACAGATGAAAAATGTCACGGACGCTTGGTGCCAAAGGTGACTGATGCGGCTGAAATATACCTTTGGGCTCTTTTAAAGCTCTCCTCATGGTAGTAATATTAAGCAATTAAATGTTAAACTATTTTAATAACTTTCTTCTTAAAACTGGGAAATTTTCGTTCGTGTGAAATGCTTCCGCTAGTAAAAGAATCTGTGTGGCCTTCCGGTATAGGATTCACTGTGGTCTGTCTAAGGGAGGCCAGTAGAACTGAGAAGGACCCTCAGCGCCAGGCCATCAGAAACCTAGGCTACATTTTCCAGATGGGGTAAGACCCACTAGTTCTTTGCATAGGTATGTTAGCGTGGCTCTTAATTTTGTACACTTAAGTTCCTTTTATTGGGTCAAAGACAGAGTGGGCCCTTTTAGTTTCTCTATTAAAAATAATTGGCACTATTTATTGTTCTTCTATTTGCCATGTGCTTTGAAAATATTATTTCCTTTTAATTTTTCCAAAAACTCTGCAGGGCAGTAGTATTGTTTCCAGTCTTTTATGCTGAGAGTAAGGCTTGGTGAGGTTAAGTGGCTTCCCCAATGGAGTGTTCCAAATTAGTGGCAAAGCTAATTTGGACCCACATCCACCTGGCTTTCCAATTACCTACTATTGTCTTTCCACCTTACTCCCTCTCCTCTCCAGGAAACCATGTCCCCAAAGCTGAAGGCTAGAACATAAGCTAAGTAATATGCTATACTGTTCACGGGATCAACCCTTCCCCAGGACTTGGCTTTACCTGAAGTAA